AATTTCTCCTTAAGAGGACTTATAAAGAAGAAATTAGGAGATAATTAGAGTAAGGTAAGGTAATTAGCTTAAAGTAAGGTAGTATATAGGCTAATTAGAAGATTTTAATTCTAATTAAGTATAAAGATATAAGTTAGTATTAATAGGTTTAAAGATAGATATATAAAATTTATTCCTTATACTTATACTTACTTTTTAATTAAACTAAAGCCTTTTTATAATTTACTTTTAATTATAATAATATAAGATAATTAGGAGTAATTACTTACCTAATTAGGGTATAATTATACTTAATCTTATAGTTTAATACTTATAATTAACGTTAATTCTAAATAGATTAAGATAATTTATATACTAATTAGTAAGGAATCTTATGTTACTTTTAGTAGTTATAGTGTTTTATATAGTTACTATACTATAAGAGTCCTTTATACCTTATACGCTTTTAATAGGCTTATAAAAAGTCTTATATATAGTAAGTTTAAATAGTTTAGATTACTACTTAATCTTTAAGATATATAGATAATACTTATATACGCTTAGAAAAGGGGGTTAGTAAAAGATAAATACCTAAAGGCTATTTAAATTCTTATTTATTACCTATAGGCTGTTTTAAAACCCTTTTCTAGCCTATAGGCCTATTACTTCTAACTAAAAGCCCTAAAATAAAGTTATTTTTTTACTATTATTACCTCTTAAAAGATTTTATATACTAGTCTATAAAGATATAATATATAAGTATTTACTTTATAAAGAGAATAGTACTAATAAAGGTATTAATTATAAAGTAAATAGCAGCTTATTAACCCTTATCTATAATAGTAATAGCTATACTAAAGGGGGTATTACTAAATATACTTATAATAACTAATATATTCTTACTAGATTTACTATTAAAAGGTCTAAGGACTCTTTAAGAGGTAAGTAGTACTAATACTACCTTATTAATTTTTTATATATTAATATAAAGGTCTCTTTAAAAAAAGGTCCTCTTAAATATAGAATAGCTATATAACTTAGTAGTTATATAACTAAAGACCTAAGTATAAGTTAGTAACTAGCTATAATAAGTTAGTATATAAGAATATATACTAAAAGTAATATTACTATACTTTATAGCTAAGAACTTCTTTTCTAAGTAATAAAGCTTTAATCCTTTATATATAATAATATATAGCACCTTACTTAAAGTATAATATTAATATTTATAAGATTAGCTTCTAGCTACTAGCTTATATTACCTTAAGGAGTTACTATAAAGTATACTTATAATATACTTTATACACTTAACCCTCCTTAAGACAGGCTTAAGGGTCTTAGCCTAACTACTTTTTTTAGCCTCCTCCTTTTTCTCTATCTTAAAAGTAGCTTATACTATATAAATAAGTTAGTAATAGGTTACTTAGTAAGTAGTAAATAGTAATATACTTTTAGCGTTATACTAAAGGAACTTTTATAGTATAGCCTAGCCCCTAGCTATAGCTATAGCTAGGGTATAAGAAGAAAGGGGGTATTAGTATTAAAGGCTTATAAGCTATCTTTTTTTAATTTTTTTTTATACTTATAATAAGGTTATTAAAGACCTTATTACCTTTATAGCTTTTATCTTAGTTATACTAGTATTAAATATTAGTATTACTTAGTAATATAAAGGTAAAATAATAGTAGACTACTTATGTTAGGGAGAAGGACTATAGGCTAGTTATTTAAGGTATTAAAAAGGCTAGTACTCCTCTTTACTACCTTATATTACTTAGCGTAATACTTAAGCGCTACTATATACACTATAGTAGTATAAGTATATATAGCCTCCTTATTTCTTTTAGTAAGTATTTATTTAAAATAATTAGTATTATAAATTACCTAGCTTATAATAAGTAATTATAGTAAGTTATAACTATAAGATAGAATAAAAAAGATATAGTAGTATATATAGTTATTCTTATTAATAATAAAAAAAAAGCCTAACTTTTACTTAGTAAAAAGTTAGATAATAATAAGGTAGAAAAGTAGTTAGATAGTTATTTTTTAGCTAATTAAAGGCTACTATTCTACTTAATAATTTATATAGCTAGAGGTATAAAAATAAGAATAAATATAGTAATTTATCTCCCTTAATAAGGGCCTATATAGTATTTCCTTTATATAATAGTTACCCCTTATAACTAGGCTTTATAAAGCACTATATACACTTTACTTTATTTACTTAGTAGTAATCTTTTTTATATCTAGTAGTTTTTAAGTATATAATAATCAATAGATAGTTAATTACGCCTAGGGGGGTATATTATAATACCCTTATATATATAACGTATATCTAGCTCTAGTTAGCTAATTTCTCTAGACTAAAGAAATAGTTATTCTAAACTAAGCCTTATCTCTATATAGCTAACTTACTTAAAGAATATATATTTCTTTAGGCTAGATTACCTATCTCTACACTATAGATAGTTAAGCCATTTTCCCTATAATCTTTCCTACCTAAACAGTGTCTCTACAACAGAAGACAAATAGCGCGCTTATGTTAGCTGTGCCTTGCTTAGTTAGGATGTTACGCCACAGTAATGTCCTTTGATAGTCTTTATCTTAAAAATAAAACATAGACGTTCTGCCTTGTTATAAGCACAAGCTTTTAATCCCTAATGTCGGCCACAAAGGGGTACCCTAACAGTGCGTCCAGGTGCTATTAACCTAAAACACGGACTCAGGGGGGATTTAGAGAAGGGGACTTGGCAATCCGATGAGGGAACGCCGAAGCCTACGAGTCAGCTGCACTCTAATTACAGGCGCACCACCCTAGTATACACCAGGGTTACGCTGCTTGTTATGCTACTAACTACAGAGTAAAACGCTATAGGTTGGTTATAATACCCCACAAGTGATAGCAACTACTAGGATGTCATGCGAGGTGTGGAGACTAAGCATCGTTCCTGCAGTACTTGCAGTGTTAGAAAACCTCTCTGTAAATTAGATCTGTGAACTTAGCAGAGGCATCCGTCTATGCGGAGATAGCCGACTTTAGATCCACCAGGATACACCTATCTATAGGCCTCTTATCTAAGAGTAGTTTTGCACTAATGCCAATAACTCTAGTGTAGATTATATCTTATCCCTCACCCAGATTTCATTCATTTCCTACAACTCTCAACCCCAACCTTTCATTCGTTCACTCTTCAAGAAGTCTCTTAACTTCACCCTTCCACTCGTTCAATTTTCAATAAATCACATCAAGGCACGATGCATCACTCTGCAACCTTTGCGGCTGTGGTTTCCCTAGCCACCGGTTCGCTTGCAGCAGTGGCAGGTCGCCAGCTTGTCCCTCGCGACGATTGCGGCGGCCTTACCAATGTACCGCTTAGCCCCGACCCTGCCCACTCCAGCTACACCTTCACCCTTGATCCAACAGTTAAAGACGTGATTGCCAACTTTGCTAAATCATCCGGCACCACTTTCAACACTATAGTCGTCGATCAATACTGTAACGTTTTTAATGGCGATGGGGGTATATATACATCTACAGCTTACCACATTGGCTGATAGCTAACCTGTGGCGTAATCAGGCTACGAGTCTAACAATTGGGGATGGGCCAACATCACTCAGTTTGGCCCAGGTGCCGAATATACAATTACAACGGATAAATGCGAAGACGGGAACAGCCGCTCGCCTCTGTCCTACTCAGTAAGCCTGTGCGTGGGCGACGGGACTGAATGCAATTCGACCAATCCATGGGCCGTATGCGGCGCGCCTGGCGCCAGTGACAACTTTAGGCCGTTCTGCGCCGTCACGGAACCTTTGGGGGGCAACCCCAAGGCCGTTGCCCTTAACGACACAACGGCTTGGAGCTGCCAAGTCTGCCCTGGATCGAGCAATACCTGCGTGTGGTCTTGATGCCGTTAGCAAGGGCCGGCAGACGAGAGCACTAAAGTCTAGCTAGCTTCTTGCCCTAGCCGGCTTCGGAAGAGCCCGGGTCTCGGCGGGTGACAATTGTTAAAGCGCGTAATTATCAGCAATACGCTTGGTTGATTGATTGCTCTGTTGTGTGTGTATTTACCACTATATTGCGCGGCCATTGCCGGTTGGCCTTTTTAAAAATAGTAAATGTATAGATTATTATTTTCCCTTAATATTGGCAATAGGATTAACGCCGAAATAGCTAGAATAACTACAGCTGATTTACTATAGATCTACTAGATCTATAGGGTTATTATTATTAAATAGTAAGGATTATAATAGTTACTTAATTAATTCTGTTATATGTTCTATGTTTATAGTAAATTACTATAGAAATAGGGGAAAACCCTATTAGAAGTAGGGCTAATTTACTGCCTATTCCCTAATAATTTACTATAGGGTAACTATATATTTACTAGTGAATTTATATATAATTCCGCTATATTTAATTTACCCCCTTAGCGCTAGTAGCGTAATTAATTACTATAGAGCCTACGCTAAATATTATCTATATATAGCCTATTTATTTATTAATTATCCTTTAATATCTTATACGTTTTCCTCCTCTATTTAGTAGTAAAGCTTTACTTTATTATTAGCTAATTCTTACTATTAATTTACTTAAGGCATATATATTAGTTACTTATACTTAATTACAGTTATAAATATAGTAAATTATAGCACGCTAAGCGCCTTTATTAATCT